ATGGAGTTATAGAATTATGGACAACAAAGCTTTCTGGGACCTCAAGAAATTATTTTGATCACCTCCCTTCCCCAAAGCAGGATCAAATATACTCCAATCATTCCTGAGTTATTTGTCTAACCAGCTCTTAAAAATCTCTAGTGGTAAATATTCCATAACCTCCCCAGGTAATTTCTTCCAGTGCTTAAACCACCCTCATAGTTAGAATTTTTTTTCTAATGTCTATCTTAAAATCTTCTTTGTTGCAATTTAAGTTGATAACTTCTTGTCTTATTCCCAGTGGACAGGGAAAATAATGTATTATTTTCCTCTTCACAGTAACCTGTCAGGGTGCCTCTACACATGCAGATAAAGGCATGATTGGATCTAATGTGTGATCCAAACAATCATGCCTCCTGCCATGCCACATGTGCATAGCAGGAGTCATGACTGTGAGATCCAGCATAAAATCCTATCAAGTCTTATTCCTGGTCTTATTGCTGGTATCGGCATCCTGGGTTCTCCCTGCACTGGCAAATAGCAAGCTCCCGCATCTGTGAGGCCCACAGCTGACAGGACTCAGCCCTGTCTGCCCTCCATACACAGTTGGGGCTGAGAGTCCCAGCAGCTGATAGGACTTGTGGCCCTGTGGCTGGGAGATCACAGCAGTTGTAATCTTCCATCTGTGGGGGCACAGGCTAGACGTGCAAATTAAAGCTGGATAAAAATCAGCTATAAAGTTATTACACATTTTTGAGCAATAACTTTATATCTGGTTGGACCTTTTTAAGAGGCCATAGTTAATTTACACATGTAGCCAGTCTAAATTAATTGCACAATTAACCAGGTAATTGCGCAATAGATATAATGTGTAGAGGGGGATTACATACATATTTGAAGACTGTTATCATGCCCCCCTTCAATAAATCCAGTTTTTCAAGCTTTCCTCATATGCCATATTTTTTAGACCTCTGATCATTTTTGTTGCTGTGTTCCAAATGCTCTTTGATTAGTCCACAACTCTGTAAAAATAATACACTGTTCTCCAGCTGAGGCTTTTCTAGTGTTCAGTAGAGTGGAAGGATTACTTCTTGTGTCTTGAATACAACACACATTTATATATCCCTGTATAATGATTTGTTTCTTTTTTTGTTGTTGTTGCAGTACTATGATATTGTTGTCCCGTGTTCAGTTTGTCATCCATTATAAGGTCCAGATCTTTTTTCTGGAGAACTGCTGCCTAGCTAGTTGTTTCACATTTTGTATTTATACTGTACTTCATGTGGCCTTATTGAATTGCATCTTATTGATTTGAGATCATTTCTCCAGTTTTGAAACATCACATTGAATACTAATCCTCTCCTCCAAAGTGCTTTGCAGATGGGTATTTTCTACACATGTAATAATTAAATAATCCGAGTCATAAATGAAAATATTGTATAATACCAAATCTGGGACAGACATCTGTGCAGCTCCATTTTGATAGTGAACAAATTATTTCTAACCATTTGTGGACCCACTTGAAATAATTTCATCTTTATCATATTTAACTTGTTTATGAGAATGTAAAATAAGAGTGTGTCAAAAGCCTTAATAAAGTCAAGATATATCCCATCTACTTCATCTCCTCTATCCACAGGCCAGTTATACTTCCCTAGAAAGAAATTTCTGCTTTGACTTCATTTCTTCTTGACAAGTCTATGTTGATTATTACTTGTATACTGTTACTTTTTAGGTACTTGCAAAAGATGGGTTGATTATTTGTTCTAGCGTCCTTTTGGAAATTGATGTTAGGCTGCTCTGCAATTCACAAAGTGTTCCTTTTCCCTTTTTTAAATCTAGGCATTAAATTTATATTTGTCCAGACTTTTTTAAATGTTATCCATTCTCTATGAGGTTTCACTTGTAATTGCTAATAGTGCTAAGATTTTTTTCAGTCAGTTCCTTAAATATTGTATAAATTTGATCAGGAAAAGCCCATTTTAAAATATCTAATTTCTATAAGTATCCTCTAGTTTGTGTTTCTGCTATTTCAGCTTCGGTTTAGCTCCAGAATGCTAATTTAACCATCTGGCAACATTTAGACTTCCTAGTGAAGGCTGAAGCAAAAAAGACCTTAAACGCTTTGGTTTCTAAGCATCGTCTGTTATTAGCTTTTTCCTCCCATTGAGAAGTGGACCAGATATTTTGCTGTCTTCCTCAGATAACTAATGGACTTACAGCAGTGGCAACGCAGAGGGCATGCACAGGGGTGCACCCCCTGAGAGCGCTGGTGCACCCCCTGGTCGGCCATGCTTGCTGCTTAGGCAATGGGCAAGGGGGGCAGGCAGGAGTGCCGGTGCCCTCCCTGCAAGCGCCAGCTGATCACTGCAATTGCTGCAGCTGCTTCCGGGAGTGACTGTGGCCACTTTTGGGAGCGGCTGCAGTGACCAGCTGGCGCTTGCTCCAAGAAGTGGCTGCAGCCACTCCTGGAAATGGCTGCAGCGATCAACTGTTGTGGGGTCACCCACAGGGGACCACCCCCCAGCCATCAGGATCGCCCAAGTGGGCCCCCCCTCGGTTGGCAGGACTGGTCGCAGGGGGGGCATGTGCCCCCCTGACTAAGGCAGCACCAGTCGCCCATGACTTATAGAATGTTTTGTTGATACAACTTGTAACTGGCATTAAGAGTATCTTATTTTTACCTTGGCCTTTCTGATTTTGTACCTATCTGCTTGTGTAGTCTTTTATACTTTGCACATTTCTGTACAATTCCTTCTTGAATTTCAGGTTAAGATCATGATTTAGCCAGATTGGTCTCTTGCTACATTTGTTATCTATCCTGTGCTTTAGATTTTGTGCCCTTAATATTGTTTATTTTAGAAACTGCCAACTCTTCTGGATTCCCTTTTTTTTTCCCCCCTTGGGTCTGCTTTCCATGATATCTTACCTTCACTAAAAGCTTCATCTTGATCTTCCTGGTTTGATGCTTTACAGTAAACCTAAAACTGTGGGCTTGTCATGTCTGATTAAACCTAATTCAAAATTGTACACATTACTTACCAAGTCTATATATAAAAATGCTTTTCCTTTCTTTATTAGACAAACCCCATCCCTGATCTCCATCTTGTAATACCATTCTACAGTCAAGGGACAAGGATTTTTATTGGTGATATCTCTTACTGGACTGGTCGTTGCCTCTTACATGTTTCTATCACTCCAGCACTATCATTCCATGGCCAAGAAAGTCAAAGCCATTCTGGAGAGATTTCTGTGGAGCCATGTACTCATCTCCAATATGTCTCTCTCCCAATTCATACACCTTCACTTTCTGGACTTTGTATTGCTTATGGTCACACATGACAGTATCATTTGTACTCATATAAATGAATAGTAGTAATCTATGAGCTCAACAAGCATTATCAACCTTTCTATAATGTCTAGGACTAGATGTCCAGGTTTCTGGCATTCAGCAGCCTTCCTGGAATGTCATATATATATTAGGGCTGTAAGAAGCTTTGGGCCCTGATTTGATTCAGTAGAGATTTGGCCCAATTTGGTGGCTGAATCTCTGAATCCAAATCAAATCAGGAGACCCTTTAATCTCTCTGAATTGAATTGGAACCCTCCAAATCAATTTGGAGAGATTCAGAGAGATTTGGTGATTCGGACATAGACACAGCTTTAAATGTTTTTTCTACATACCTCAAGGTACCAGGTGGTACCTCAAGAATGCTGAGATGCTGGGGCAGATGAAGCATCCCACAGGAACATGGGGGGTTCCTCAGCATGCTCGGCAGCAGACCTGGGAGTGGATCAGAAGCACTTCCAGTCTACTTCTGAATACGTTGGGGAGTGCTCTGCCCCCCCCCCACTGCCGCCTCCTGGCTCAGTGACGGGTGCCTCCTGGGTCTGGGGGGGGGACACCCAGGGCCCTCCTGTGGCTGACTGCCAAGGTCGCGGGTCCTGGGAGGGCCTTGCATGCTCCCCAGCGGACTTGGAAGTGGACCAGAAGTACTTCCACTTCTGGGTTTGCCACCAAGCATGCAGGGTGCAGGCCCCCCCCCCACACTCCTGTAGGATTCTCCATCTGCTCCAGCATCACAACATTTATGAGCCATGTCTGGTACCTTGAGGTATGTAGAAAAAGCATTTAAATCTGTCTCTATGGTCGAATCTCTGATTCTCTGAACTGGCATCAAATCTTCAGATTTCAATTCAACCAAATTGAATTGAGGACAGTGATCCAAATCAACAAATCAAATCACTGTCCCCGATTTGGGCTGAATCTGAATCCAAATTGAATACAGCCTGTTTCACACACCCCTAATGTGTACAACATAAACATCAATATATATTCAGTATCAGAAAGTTCGGCAGGGTAGTACCTTATATATACACTAACTCGTTTAGAGAGGCATGAGCTTCAGGCCAGGTACAGAAGTTACACTTATTGCATGGTAGGTGCATAGAAAGCACTCTACAGCCATAACTGAACAGACAGCCAGAGCATATAAAGTGCTGTAAAAATGGTGGAGCTTTCTCTAAGATAACTCTAGATGGAGACAGTATCTGATTTCAGTGCTGTAAGTTAGGGTGCTGTAATGAACATCTGTACCAGATTCCATCGCAATTCACATTAGGTTACATTCTGCTGGCAACCCATGGGGCTTTGTGGCACCCCACTCGCTGCTCTTTGTGGTGCAGCAGTCTAGCCTAGGCCAGAACTTGACTCATTTGCCCAAGCACTGGGTTAGCCCTGTCACCAGGCTGTCACTAACAAGAGTTAGTAAAGTCCCCGTTTCCAATCCTCCTCCATCACTAAACTTGTTCCCTCCAACCAGGTATAAGCCACTGCCTGGTATTATCACTCAGTGTGCATATTCCATCTACTCTTTCTGGGCACTTGTAAGGATTTCAGCTTTTGATTAAATGCTGTGCTGTTCGCTGAACACCACATTCACACCAGGGGCTGTCCAGAATGTTCATTTTGTACATTGTTGTTTTGAAGTGTCCACAAACAGGTGAAACTGCATTTTTTCCTGGCAATCCTCCGGGCACCATTTGGCAGAGCAGCTATGAATAAGCCTCACTGCAGGAATGGCACAGAGGAATGTGGGAATTCTCCCTAACAAACCCCTCCACTCCCTTCCTTACCTGCCAGAGAAATGGAGAAGGCTCATGTCTCTGGGCCCTGATGCTTGGGTTTCTCAGCCTTCCCAGCTCCAACAAAAGGGAGATGGAATCCAGGCATCTGGGTTTTCCCTGCTGGAAGGTGTAATGTGGGCATTCTGTTCCATGGTCAGTGCTGGGTCATCAGCAGCTGCACAGCTTCTGGCCCTGAGTGGGGGAAATGGTCTGGACAGGGGACTCACCAGAGGTTCTTCTGTGTCTCCCTTGTCTGCAGGTTCCACACTTGTGTACAGGAGGCACCATCATGGAGTCCAAGATGCTGGATCTAGGATTCTCACCCAGACACCTGCAGAAAGCCAGAAATGTGTGTAGATGGCACCAGTGGCATGAGAACCAAATTGGACCCTCGATGTGGCAGGTTTGAATGGATAGGTTGATGACTGCTTGCATCTGTGGTACTGCAGCACTTAAATGAGTAGTCTAGGCCCAGGTATGCATTGTGGAAGTCAAAGAATGAAGCCTACAGTTGGCCAATTATTCTTTGAGGAAGGGCACTGATGCTGCTATGGAGTTGAGAGTCACAGCACCAGGATAAAGAGTTTATAGACAGGGTGAAAGACCGTTTGGGTTCCATCTATGATGATACCTGAGTGGTGTCAGTGCAACCACCTTTGGAGAGACTGTTGCCCTCCTGGAGAGGCATGGTGTGGCAGGCTGCTGCCTCCCTCCCCCCAGAATGGAGAGCCCCACTCCAGGGATTCCTTCTTGGTGTGACATGCCCGTGAGTCCAATGCAGGGGTGGGGGGGGTGGAGTCCTGGATGGTGACCACATACTGCATATTGTTTGGGACATGTTGGGGGAATTCCTGAAACATGAGGTATGGTGCTTGGGAGCCACTGGCTCCTGATACAAGAAGCCAGGAAGGTGTCTGGTGGGGCCCACTCTGGGAAACAGCAATGGGGGAGAAGGAGACCAGGTTGCCTCAGACTCAATGCTAGGGAAGGGGGGCTGTCATTGACTCAGCCCCTCTTCCAGGGCCAACTTGCTACCCCCTGCAGCTGCCAGTTGCTGGCATAGGCACTGGGCCCCAAAGAGAATGCGGTGTGGGGGGGAGCATTCAACAAACCCATCAGGACAGGCCACTATAGACCTGGGTCCTGCTGCTGGGGAGCAGTGCATCCTTTGCAAGGAATGGCAGCCCCCTGGGCTCCGATCTAAGTTCTGGAACGGGCAACATTCCACAGTTTTAATATGCACACAAAAAATATGGCTGCTGCAACATTTAACTAAACCAAGGGGTGGCAGTTTTGCCTGCAGCATTCCTTCTGTTACCCCAAGGTTTTGTGTTTGTTAAGTTGAGCCCCCATGGCTGCCCTGGTCCCTTCTCCCCATCAACATCATAACTACCCTGTGCAGCCAGGGTCTTTTCTCACTCTTTCATTGTTAACTGAGAAGAAGTTTACAAGTTCTGGAGTGGGCAACCTTGCACAATTTTTGTTTAATAAACACACTTAAAGTTTGGCAGCTTCAACATTTGATTAAAATGAGGCACATCTCTTCCTTTCACTGCATGCCCCTGCACCCTGGTGTGCGCTCCTGGGGGAGTTGGGGAAGAAGAAGGGAAGGGCGATGGCATGGGCAGTAATGTCCAGAACATAAGGCCAGAGGGGCTGGAGATGCATGGTCCACTCCCACGACAAGTTCATTGAAAGACCTCCAACCTTACTCATCCAGGGAGGGCTCCTGGTTCATGCAGGTGGGGAGGGAGTTGGCCAGGGCTTTGTAGCTATGGATGCTGTGCTGCAGTGCAGGGCCAGAGCAACACACATTTGTGACTTGCCATCTCCCCAATCCCTGCACCACATGTGCTTGCTGTACCAGACTTGGTTCATAGCTGAAGTGCTCCTTCCAGCGGTCTCACTGTCCCACACAGGGCTTCATGAGCCAGGGCAGAAGGAGTTATGCTGGTCCCCTGATAAAGATTGGGGGGCGGGGGGGAGGGGGTGATGATCTAACTGATGAAATCAGGGACCCTGGGAGCATAGTGCCTGCTTTCCATCACCTGAGAGAACAGAGTTGTGCAAGATGTGGGCATCATCCTCATCAGCTGCATGAAAGTTGGTGGCCCAGTCATGCCCCAGACACTTGGGATCTGTGTGTGTGTTTGTGTGTGTGTGTGCGTGTGTGTCCATGCATGCATGTGAGGTGCACACACACACACATGCACTCAAACACACAAAGCTGAGGCATCCTGAACACGTGCACACAGACACATGCACAGAACACAGACATCTTGAACGCGTGCGTGTACACACACAAACACACACCACAACTTAGGCATCTAGGACACACATGCACACAGACAAAGAACTCAGGCTTCAAAATGGCAGGGTTTGGGGGCACAGTGTCCCACACTTGGCAGCCAAATAATGGCTGGCTCAAACTTTCTGCTTCCTTCTGACTTAACCTTGGGTGCTTAGAGTAAAGCTTGAAAGTTAGGCTTCTTGAATGCCTCTACTTAACCTTATAGGCTAAAGGTGCCACCCTGCCCAGCCTTCTGCCTAACTTTAGACTAATACATTGCTCTATCTGTCTGCTTAATTATATATTCATAACACAGTTTTTTCCTATATGAACATTATAATTGATTTAATGAAAAAGGAAAATACAAAGTTAATAACTGAGTTAAAAGATTTAGATTTTCAAAGAGGAAAGCTAAAAGAGCAAGCCATTCACATTTTCATTCAAATATGCAAATTTCAGGACCTGGGAGTTATTTATTTGTAAGGGGTCATGGTTATTTCATGGAACAAAAGAGAGAGAGAAAGTTTACAAGGGTAGAAAAAAATATTGTCAAGAATTTATAAAATTATTTATTTATGAAATTTTAACTTCGTAAAATTCTATTTTTTCATGTTCTCTCATAAATTATAATTTTTCAGAGCATAATTTATTATATCATTTATTTGTGTAAAGTATCCAAAATCCACATGAGAAGCCAACTGTTAAGAGGTAAAATACTGTTGAGTCAATAAATATTGGATTTTTACAATATTAGAAAGAATCTCATATTGAAGTACAATAGAAGGATATTTCTGTCAATGTCTAGATAAGAATGTAAATCTATTTATTCATTTTTGAGAGACACCGTTCATTTATCAGAGTTGATGCTTTCCAAGAACCATGGCAAGTAATGAGTACCTGTGACAGGTAGGGGTGAATCGATAAAGATTTTCTGGCCTGATGCTAATAGCCAATTATTAACGAGCCATATCAGCTGATACTGATTTGATTGCCAATATGCAGCCCAGAAGCTTGGAGAGCAGTGTCCGGCTGGTAGGCAGGCTGCCACCGTGAGTTGGGGTTGGGGTTGGTGCTGGCCTCTTCCTGGCGGGGAGTTGGGCTGGGGCTGTACTCAGGCTGGGCATCAGTGGCACTGGAAGGGGGGCTCCCCATAACTGTCACCACCCACCCCGATTGCAGCCCTGGCCAAGCCCTCCTGCCGGAAAGAGCCCAGTGCCAGCCCTAGCCCACAGTGGCAGCCTACCAGTACCAAGCGCACTGATCCTGAGGTCATGTTCCCTCTTTCCCTCTGAGGGTGCACATAGCAACAGGAGCTGACCCCTCCCCCACCCCCTGACAAGCCACTTGTGGCTCCATCCTGTCTCTCCCTGTCCTGTCCTGTCCCAACCCAAGCCTCCCTCCACCTTCACCATGGGGGCCTCAATCTGCCTCCCAAGCCCTTTCCCTCCCCCCACTTCTTCCTCCCCAACAAACTTACCAGCCAGTACTGCTCTCCAAGCTGCTGGGCATTTATCTGCAACATTATTGGTGATGTTGTCAGCGACCGCCAAAAAAAGCTGATTGCTGATAATGTCAATTTTCCTTTTATCAGTGCCAATACGATATGGACCAATGTATTGGTGCATCTCTAGTAACAGGCCAAATTATTATTGTTAGGTCCACAAATTATCCGTTAGGTGCAGTTTTATGTATTCTGTATTAATTCCTCCTTTAAAGGTGAAGAAGAGTGAGATATTCCTCTATAAAGTTTTCTAAACTTTTTCCTGCTATTCCTTTATATATATATTTTTCTCTTTACACAGTTTTCTTCCTTTGTGCTGATCAAACAAAGCACAGAAGCTGATAAGTAAAAATTTTACTAGACTGGGGGTCTATAGCTACATTCCAGTCCTATCACTCATACCAGGTGGATTTCACTGTTGTGCAGAGACTCATTCACTCATGTTTTGTTTAATGAAGAGTAAAATATGTGGTGCAGAGATCTTACATCTTTTCTCTACACAGGAACAAATGTCACCCATAAGTAGTCCCATTGTCAATGACAGAACTCACTTTTCTAAAGTAAACAGGATTTGGCTCTTTGTTTTTATGAAGTCTTATTTTCTAAGCTCTATTTAAATATTTTTTCAATTTTCCCTATCAATGATGGAGTAGAATCTTATGCAAAGACTATTTTCTTTTTGTTAGCTTTATTTTTTTACCAACAAGTTAGTCAGGAAAATATAACTTTGATGGATTACTTGTCTTTATACATTTAATGTTGCTATTTTTTGTAAGGATTGTCACTTGAAGGTCAAATAAAGGATCTTCTTTGCAAAGCAGTGGAAATGATAGTAGCCAGCCTCAGGTCAGTCCTGCCTCTTGAGATATAGAGTTCATTAAGTACTTTTAGAAAGTACTACTGTCTGCTTTTTTGTTGTTGTTGCATACCTAGGAATTCAGAATTCTCCTTGATTCTGTGACAAAGCCTATTCTCAATCTTGGTGATTCAGTCCTCTTTTGTTATATTTATTTATTTTATATAATTTTAAGGCTTTGTCCCTAGTACATTTTATTTTAAAATACATTTTAAAATGTGTCACATCTCTCACCGGTTAATGTGATCCCTTTTTAAATATGAAGTTATTTTATTATAAGTCTACCTTGCAGTATAGAGACATTATTTTAAATCTCATGACTACAGATCTCTGGAGGATACTTTGCTCTGTAGGAGAAATAATACTTTTAATTGGTACCGTATTCCCATACTCACCTATAATACTTGGAGAACAGATATACTAAGGAAAAATGGATGGAAATGGGGATGCTTCTGAGGGGAGAAGGATCACGTTACAAAGCTAATGCCACCACATCTTGTATCTACTAATCTTTGCCTGGTTCTACTTGTTTTACACTTTCCTTAAATGCATGGGAGAAAAACATTTTACCTGTGAAGCATGGCATGCAGGGCTGATTGGAAAGGATAGAAGGATTGAAACATCTTTTCCAGCCTTCTCTATGAGCTAGAAACGATCTGAAATTATTGAAAAATGATGTCTTGGCAGACACACAAAAGGATTTCCCAAATTCTTGTATTATGTCAAGAAATTAAAGTTGCTAGTGAATGGAGAACAATTTGAAATTACAATGTAAAATAGTATTAAATGAAGTGCTACAATGTCAGCACACAGTTTTCTTCACAGAAAAGCAACTGTGATTTAACTGCACCCAGTATAATTCACAACACTGCTGGAAATCAGAGACAGCTGTATGGAAAAAAACTATGTTGGATAAAGGGGAGATCTCAAACGCATGTAATTGCTAATAAAAATAAAAAATAAAAAATAAATATTTCTTAGCCTTGAAACACCTTTTTATGGTTGCATTGGATCCTTGTCACCTAGGTTATCTGAGGCCTTTTTCAAAGATTAGGATGCTAGCCTCAGCTGTAGGACACCAGAATATATCTACTCTGTCCTGTAGGTGGCCTCAGTCCA